TCAGCTCACGCAAGTTCACTCAAACATAAATGAACAAGTTGGCTCAAAGAAAAGCTTTATAGAGTAGTGTTTTACATTTGGCAAATGTCTTCATATACAACCTTTCCTTGTTAGGCAAAGAAGATACTGTTTTCAAAAGAAAGGGAACAAAATTAATTGAAAGCCTGTTACATGCTAGATATCTTCCAAACATTGCCACATTTATTCTTTATGCTGCTTCATGAAGTCAGTGTTATGATTTCCCAGGTTACAAAGGAGACTAGAGGAACATAAAGGACTCGTTTCATGTAACAAAGGAGAAAGAGAAAGAATTCCAAGCCAGATATTACATTCTCCTGTAGCTAATCACATTAGACTGTGTTTTACAACTGATAACCTCAGTGCAGCACAGCTTTCTCCCGGTCAAAGAACTCATTTGTAACCAGCCTTAGGGGAAAACACTGCTATCTAGCATCCTTGAGGCCAACATAGAAATATTTTAAAAATTATTTTATTGGAGGCTGGGGCTATAGCTCAATAAAGTACATGTCTCACATGCATGAGGCCCTAGGTTCAATCCCCGTACTGTCCAAAAAGTTCATTTCATAAGTGTTTGTCAAGATCCTCCTCACTCAGACTCCAGTGTTAATACTTATATGTCATGACATGTATTTATCCCCTGAGTTTATTCATCACTTCAGAAAGTAATGATTACCTAACGTGCTCCAGACTGGATAAGTTTTAACTGTTAGAATGAATAAAACACTGAACGGACAGGATGAAGTTGAGGTTTAAGCAGAAAATAGACTGAATTAAGGAGACATAGACATATAAAAAGCTGTTACAGTTGTCAGAAGCCAAGTCAGTGCAGGGAATGATGGAGTCTCGGGGGAGGGATATCAGGATGTCAGATTAGCTGAGGTGTGTCAAGGGTATCAGGAAAGACTTCACAGTAGCCATCCCAGATCTAAACATTAAAGAGCGGCAGATGGGTGGAGGATTCTGAGCATGGAGAAGACAGGGCAGAATAAAGAAGAGGAATAGAGATCCACAAGGGTAAACTTACAAGGATTTGCATCACATATGACCCATCGAAATAGAGAATCAATGGTCTACATAGTGAGTTCCAGGCCAGCTAGGGCTACAGGGAGACCCTGTCTCAAAAAGACCAAAAAGAAAATAATTTTTTTAATTTAAAAAAAAAATCAAAGAAAACAGGGTGGCAGATTATACCTAAGACAGGAAAAGGTACAGGTGCTATTATAAATGGAGCAATCTTTGCTTGCCTTTAATCCCAGCACTTGAGAGACAGCAACAGGCAGATCTCTGTGAGTTGGAGGCCAGCCTGGTCTACATAGCAAGTTCCAGGCCAGTTGGAGCTACAGAGAGACCCTGTCTCAATAAGACCAAAAGAAAAAAAAAGGAAAAGAAGCAATCTTTGTCCTGCAGTACAAAACTTCTGAAAAAGTTTCCAGCAATAGCATAACATGATCCCACTTATGAGATACAGATATTTCTGGAAACAAAAGAGGATGAACTAGAGAAATGTAGACTGAAGAAAAGCAGACCCGTTAAAGAACTCCTGCAATAATAGAAGGAAAGATGAGGGTCTAAATTCGGGTGGAAAAGAGGGGGGAAATTAGGGAGATAAAGAAAGTGGAATGCTGAGGGGAGTTGATTTAAATGGAATCAGGAAGTTCAGTGTGCATCTTCTAGATGAAGGACGCTGTCAGTACATAGTGTAGAAGTGATTCTGCCCTCACAGACTGAATGGACTCGGGAAAGAAGGCAAGTTGACACAGCTTATTTAGCTGCATCATTTCTCAAGATCATCAATTTCTAAAGCTTGCCCAAGCCTGCTTCCTAGCTGGGCACTAAACATGGAAATATCTGTCTACAAAATGGTGCCCGATGACACAAACAGGTGCTAAACCTGAATTTAACTCCTTCTTCTGAGTTAACTTTTATCTACCTATCACTGTCTTGGACACTGTTGAGGTAGCATGGATTGAAAATGTATTGAGTTGACATTCAAAGGCTGACTTCAGCACTTTCTGGCTAAGCAGCTTTCTGCCTGTCACCTAAATCCATCAAGAATTTTATCTTCTTATGGTTGATCCTCAGGCTCTAAGAGACTGCTCAGTCCTGATTCACCTTGAGGAAATATAATGGGGTAAAAATCATCTCAACTGAATCTACTTTTTGTTCCCCATCCAGGACTTCATAATAAAAGAACTGACCGGGGAAAGCAAAAACTATCCTTGGGTCCCCCTGTGCTAGGATAAATGTGCAGATCTTTATATTGACAGGAAGGGCAAGTCTCAAGTTAAACAGACATAACTGGACATATATAGAGAGGGTGAAAAACAAAATTTGTCTTTGCTGTCTATATCACAATGGTAATGTTACAGTTGGGGTAGAGAGAGGAACATGGGTTCAAGAAAGAAAGACAGAATCATCCTTCAGGTAAGAGATATATAGCAGGGTCCAAAATAAGAAGTTTTTCAATCCTGTCAGACAAACAATGTGTCAGACCTTAAAGGGTTTTATTAATATTTTTATTTATTGTTTTTATTATTTTATGTGCATGAGTATATTGCCAGTATTCAGGCAGATGCACCTGTGTTGTGCAATGCCCATGGAGGTCAGAAGAGAGCATTCGATCCCCTGGAACTGGAGTTAAAGATAGTTGTTAGGCACTATGTGGGTGCTGGGAATCAAAGCCAAGTCCTCTGCAAGAGTACCCAGTGCTCTTAACTGCTGAGCCATCTCTCCAGCCCCATGGTTTATTTCTTTATTTTTTTTTTATGTTTTTAACTATATGTATGGGTAGGGGCATCTGTGAATATGTGTTGGAGGTTCCCATGGAGTCCAGAAGAGGGCATCAAATCTCCTAGAGCTGAAGTTAAAGGGGGTTGTAAGCCACCTGGTATAAGTGCTGGGAACTGAACTTGGGTCCTCTGAAGAACAGCTAGAGCTCTTCACCACTGGAGTCCTCTCTCCACCCCTGATCTTGAGGTTTCTTCACGGAAGGGAAATCCTGCAAATGTCAGGTCTTCTTAATATACGAGCTGTGCTACATGACCCAGATAGGGGAGAACAGTATATGTGACAGGCTTCATGACAGGGACCACCCTTTCTCTGAGTTGGGGAGTGGAACTTGGTTAATGTCTGACCCATGTGCAACATGACAGCAGCCAGGCTGCCTCTGACCCTGAGGTGGCGGGGGTCTGGATGTACATCAGCCCTCCCCAGAGCTTTATCTTCGTAGACTGGGTTATGGAATAGATAAATTTGTATTTCACTCCCGTTTTCTATATATGCATCCCTGGATCTTAACTGCTTTCTTCATGAATATGGGGGTCTGGATGTACATCAGCCCTCCCCAGAGCTTTATCTTCATAGCCTGGGTTATGGAATAGATAAATTTGTATTTCATTCCCGTTTTCTATATATGCATCCCTGGATCTTAACTGCTTTCTTCATGAATATAGCCATATCCTTATCATCTTTTGTTGTTGTTCAAACCCCATAGTTTACCCAGCAATACCTGAGAATCCATGAAAAGAATTTTAAACTTAAAGAGGTATCATCTATGTGACATTGTGTGGACAGTAACAGAAAGCCAATGGCCTTAGATTCTATCATGATGGAGAAAGGAAAAAGAAAGGGTATGAAATCCACCCTTTAAAGTGCTAATATAAATTATTCTTACATGTCTGTGTCCTGAATAGCTAAAGGCTACATAACAAGCAACAGTGCCAGACAGGCGATACCTTCTTTTGAGTTGTTGGCCGGGGTGGCCAAAGGGATTCCCAGATAGTAACCCAGCATAGAACTGGGAAAATGAACAGCAGACCCCAATCTTATCCAAAGGAATACTGACAACTGATTACTGCTAGATGAGGAACAGCTGACCCTCCTAAAACAAAGACCTCTAGATAGGCTGACTAGATTCACCAGAAGGGCAAGTAGTGGGGAATGGCTGGGGGTGATTTGGTTTTGCTTTGCTTTGCTTTTGTTTTGTTTTTTGGTGTTTTGAGACAGGGTCTCGCTGTGACCCCAGCTGAACTGGAATTCACCATGTAGACCAGGCTGGCCTCAGTCCACCTATCTCTGTCTCTCGAGTGCTAGTATTAAAGGCATGTTGCACCATGCTCAGCTCAATGTAATGGTTTTTAAATTGCATGTTTCTTATTTTTAATTTTTTTCCTTACCAATTTTTTTGCAGTATAATTTGTTGAGGTGTTTTGTGTTTGTTTGAGACAAGAGTCTTGCTGTGTAGCCCAGGCTAACCTCCAGCTTACTCTGTCTACCAGGCTGACCTCAAATTCTTGATCCTTCTGCCTCATCCTCCTAAGTTTTGAGATTATAGGCATGCACTACCCCACCTAGCTCAAAAATATGATTTTCATTTTACTTATTTATTTTAAATTTTTTTATCATTGGATGTTTGTGTTTATGGCATGTATATGCGAATGTGGGCACACACATGCTATGCCACATATGTAAAGGTCAGAGGACAGCTTGTGGGAGTTGATTCTCTCCTTCCACTACGTGGGATCTGGGGATCAAACCCAGGCTCTCAAGCTTAGCAGCAAGCACCTTTACTTACTGAGGCATCTCTCCAGCCCCTAGTGGCTTTTAAATTATAGAAACAAAATGAAATAAAATCAAGACTGCTCAGATTTTCAGAAGTATAGGGAACTCAGAACATCTACTTCATGTTCTTTCACAAGATTCTCTTTTTTAGTAACTTCTAGAGGTATGTTTTAATGGAATTCATAAACACCCATTGAGTACAAAAAATGAATGGGCTAGCATAAAGCACAGCTTGTGCTAATGATGGGGCTAAGACAAACAGAATCACATGATTTTCCCAGGTCCAGAACAAATTCATGAAGAACATAAAACGATAAGTATACATGTACATTCTATTTATGAAGGAGAAAGACTTTCCTTGATTGTGTCAGTAACATTAGCATTTCCTCCAAAGGTGTATATAGAGGAAGAAACATCTTCAATGGCCCTGAGAAATCGTACCAAGGTCACTGAATTTATTTTTTGTGGACTTACCCAGTTTCAAGAACTGAGTTTGCTTTTATTTTTCTTTTTATCTATGGTTTATATAACAACAGTGTTAGCAAATGTCCTCATCATGGCCACGGTGACCTGGGAGTCCCGCCTTCACACCCCCATGTACTTCCTGCTCCGCAACCTCTCTGTCTTGGACATCTGCTTCTCCTCCATCACTGCTCCAAAGGTCCTGGTGGACCTTCTTTCAAGGAGAAAGACCATCTCCTTCAATGGCTGCGTCATTCAGATGTTTTTCTTCCACTTGCTTGGAGGGGCGGACATTTTTTCCCTCTCTGTGATGGCATTTGATCGCTACATGGCCATCTCCAAGCCCCTGCACTATGTGACCATCATGAGCAGTGGGCGGTGCACAGCACTCATCACGGCCTGCTGGGTGGGAGGCTTTGTCCACTCCATCGTGCAGATTTCCCTCTTGCTCCCACTGCCCTTCTGTGGACCCAATGTTGTTGATGGCTTCTACTGTGATGTCCCCCAGGTCCTCAAACTCGCCTGTACTGACACCTTTGTTCTTGAGCTGCTGATGATTTCCAACAATGGCCTGGTCACTACCCTATGGTTTGTTCTTCTCCTTGTGTCTTACACAGTCATCTTGATGATGCTGAGGTCACACATGGGAGAAGGCAGGAAAAAAGCCATCTCCACCTGCACCTCCCACATCACTGTGGTCACCCTACATTTTGTGCCCTGCATCTATGTCTATGCCCGGCCTTTCACAGCCCTCCCCATGGACAGAGCTGTTTCTATCACCTTCACAGTCATCATCCCTGTCCTGAACCCAATGATCTACACCCTGAGGAACCAAGAAATGAAGTCAGCCATGAGGAGACTCCAGAAAAGATTAGCACTTTCTGAAGTAGAATAGTCCCATTATTGATTGTGGGAAAAGGAAGCACATAATTGAGTTTTCTTTTTTCGTTTTGTATTGAAGTTTTGTAATTTTCATACAATATAGTTTGGTAGTATTTAGATCCCTCCCCTCATTGCCCCCCTCCCAATATAATGTACTCTCTTATACATATACTATGACCTATAGAGTCCGATTTGTGTCCCCCAAATGTCCTTTAATGTGGTCTATCCACTGAAGATTTTTTTTTAATCTTTTTTGAACAGGGTCTTTCCTGTAGCCCCACCTGGCTGGAACTCACTATGAAGACCAGGCTCCCCTTGATCTCACAGAAATCTGCCTGCCTCTGCCTCTTAAATTCTGGGATTAAAGGAGTGTCACCATGCCTGGCTCAGGGTGGGATTTCTTACCCATTTTCCCATGTCTATGCTATGATTTTGTCTGGTTTAAGCTTGCATAGAACTTGTGCATGCTGTCACCATTGCTAACAGATCATATGAGTAACTGACCCGCTGTCTGGAAGACATCCACCCCCTCTGGCTCTCACAATCTATCCACCTCTTCTTCTCTGAGTCTTGAGAGACAGAAGTTTGAAATAGGTGTTCTGTTCAAGGATAAGCACCATGCAGCCTCTTGTTCTCTACACACTGGCCAATTGTCATCTTTTATAATATTGGGACTCAGCCAAGCACAATTAACTAATAGCAGTATGACACATATACAAAGGATCTGACATGAAACGTTGTTTTTAAGATTGAACATCAGTAAAGAGTTAAGTTAATCCTTAAAGAGAAACTGACAGCAAACAAGGAATAAACTCTAAATATGAGATTTCTGGGTGGTCAGGCAGTAGTGTTAAGGACAGAGATTTGATTCCAGACATACAAGTGGTCAATAAAAGCACCTGTCTTAAAACAGCAGGGTCCTAGCACCTCCATCCCAGTTCAGGGGTAGTTATCATGACTGAGGACCTTCTATGAACAAAACACTGCTGAGAAAACATTATCAAGTCTTTATTAGTAATTTAGTACATCCATTTTAAATAATATATTTTGTATCTATGAAGAGCTTTAAAAAGATTTCTAGATGTCAGACAGGTGTGGTGGCACATATCTTTAATCCCAGCACTCTGGAAGCAGAGGCAGGCAGATCTCTGTGAGTTTAAGGTCAGGCTGGTCTACATACCTAGTTCCAGGCCAATTGGAGCTACAGGGAGACCCTGTCTCAAAAAGCCAAAAAAATAAAAAATAAAAAAAGATTTCCAGATGTCATTCATCATCAATGACTTTGTCAAAATCGAGTGTGATCTGGGACCGGTAGCCTGATTCTGTAAAAACCCCACTGTATAAATACGTATATGGCAAAAATCTGGAACCACCTTACTCATGTCCATCCACCTCAGGCATACCTGAGTATTTGAAAAAATAAAAACCTATTGTATCAAACACAATAAATATTTTTATTTTTTTCTTATATACACTTCCTTGTCATTTCCTATATGATGGTATATTTAAAAATACTCTAGAAGTTGTCACATTAAAAGATTTAATTCTTCCGGGGACTGGAGAGATGGATCAGCAGTTAAGAGCACTGACTGTTCTTGCAGAAGATCTGGATTCAATTCCCAACACCCTTATGGCTGCTAACAACCATCTGTAATTCCAGTTCCAGGGGATCCAACACCCTCTTCTGACTCCTCCAGCATTTCATGACATGGGTATGCTTACATACATGCAGGCAATACATTCATACACATGAAAAAATAATAATTAATAAAATATTTTTGTCAGGTCATCTTTTGTTGAAATAGTTTCTCTTGCTTAACTAGCCGGGCATTCCACTGCACCACTGTTGATGTCATCAGTGATGTCATGAGGGTGATGGCCATCTACACAGCAGCCCACAGATTGTGCAGTCCCCAGGATCTTTTTAATAGTTCCAGAAAGTTCTCTGGCTAAAGGTTGGTGATACATCTGTCAGGCAATGTTGACAATCTCATCAAAAGCAGTATTTCCGACTCCCATCCTCAGACCTCTTGGGGTAAGTCTACAGCACAGGCCTCCGCGCTTTGACTCACCAAGCCACATTCACCCTTCCATCTCCCCCGCTGTTCTCTACTCCTAGTTTGGGCCCTGTGACATTACCAAGCCCGGGCCCCCAGACACAGGAGGAACCAATACGCATCAAAGACCCCCCACACCCAGAACAACCTAGGCCCCCTCAGAGCCAAGCCTGGTAGAGTC